CCCTGTTCATACACCAAGAGCTGCTGCTTGTGGCGTTCCCCCTGGACTAACAAAGTTATGGCTGGGAGGTGAATTAACAAACCCTGTAGGAAAGTTCAACCATTAATATTTAAACGGGGTATGTTACAATTTGACTCACTACTCTGGGCAAGGAATTTCCATGCGCTGGTTCCCCACGCGCCCCTGGGGTCCTCGCTGGCCACCGAGGCGTTTTGGGGCAGCTCTGTCGTGCTCATGTCGCAGTTACCGGCACGTTGGTTGCCGAGTGGGTCGGGACTCCCATTAAAGTTCACTCCTACTTCTGAAAGGACCAGAAAAAACAGGGGGTTGGTGATGGGCAGCCCCTCCTCTTCCTCCGAGACCGTCTCAGTCATGCCCCAAGGTCTACTGTCCCCGGGGGTCCCCCCATCCCGTTCATGCAAAGGATGCATTTTTTATCGGTTCCAATTGGCAGGTCATTTCCTCTCCTATTTACTCTCTTATTTTTGCTCACACGTATGTTGCAATATGCAAGGTGAGGCTCCAAACTGTCAAGCTCTTTAATAGAACCATTACTGTATTTTTGGAGAATGTACTCGTTTTGATTTACTGTTCCTTAGAAGACAGGAAATGGAGCTACTTGATTTCATATTTTAAACAAAGCCGTCCAGAGGTTTAATGAAAAAAATTTCCCCTGGCTTTTGAATTAAAGGGCTATGGTGAAAGATTTAGCTTAGCTATTTTGACTTAGAAAAATAACACGCTAGAAGCATTAAAATATTTTGTAAAAATACTTTTTACTATTAGATTTTTTCAGAGAAGAAAATAAGCTTCTCTGGTTTTCTCAGTCTTGGTTGGTAGGGCTGTGAAATGAAAGGATGTTTCCAAGGTTTAGGTGGGATTTTTTTTTTTTCCTTCTGTAGAATTTATTTTCCTTTTATATTAAAAGCCTTGAAACAATTGCAATGCAAAGGACCAATCCTGTGCTTGGATTAAGCAAGGTAATTTGGTATGGGTAATAACAGAAGCCTTTGCTATTAATAAAATGTGAGAAACCTTAAGCAGAAAGATGAGGGGCCTGATTCTGCTCTATCCAGCAGCAATGTGAATAAAGGACAGTTCTCCTTGGGAGGCAAATGGCAGTGGAAGGGCAGGAGTGGGAGATCAGTATCAGGAGAAAATTAAAGTTTTAGTAGGAAAATCCTGCGTGTAGAAGAGAATTAGCTTGGAGTGTAAAGCTGAACGTGTTGGAACTGCAAAACAAAGCACTTCTGACCTAGATCTTCAAGCCAAACTTTCTGCTTGTTCCATTCGGTGTGATTTGGGGTTGGTTTTTTATTTGTAGTGCAGGGGATCTGGAATGGTGCTTGGGCATCATACAAAGGAGGCTGATGGTCTTAATTTCTACCCAGTTTCATCTTCAGTAAATAAAAGGAGAGGTAAATGTTTTGCTAGCTTGAAAGCACCACGTGGTAGGATGGAATATTGACACAGTTTTAAGTCAATGGGATTTTTTTTCAGTGTTTTAATGAGGTTGTACCAGGATTTCAGTAGTAATTGCTTGACTATAATAATACCTCATGTGCTTCTTTCTTGAGTTGTTTCTAAAGGAGTTGTTCCTTTTTGGTGGAGCCTGTTCCACCATCAGGGGGGACAGAAGAAAGGCGAGGCTTCACACGTCAAGGTCTGATATTGGTGGCTGTCAGTAGGATTTCAGCGGTGTGTCAGTAAAGGCACGGGGCAAAGTCTGTCTTCCCTCAACCCTTCGATAATCCTCTGGATCAGCAGAAGCTTTCTTGGCTGCACGGGTCCTGTTGTTACATTTCTGGCTGTGGGTTTTGGGGGATTTTGAGAGCAGGACACTCCACTGAGGTTTATTTGTAAACTTCTCTCTGGCTGACGATGGGGAATTCGATATGTTATCAACTGAGATACTAGGATTGAAAAGGGGAGAGCAAGGCAGCCAGAAAGAGATTACAATTTAATAAATAGCAAAGATACGGTGAGCTGCTATCGGTGTAAGTTTAATGCCATTAGCTCGTGTGCCGTTGGTAACGATGTACGTGGGGCAAAGCACCCAAAGGCTCCTGGGGAGCACCCAGCCCATCTGCCGTTTCATGAGCTTTGCAGAAGAATTTCATAAGGTGTAAAAAATACCCAGGACTTAACTGAGCCTTGAGAAAATGATGTTACTGTGATAAATCTGCTGCTGCAGTGGCAAGAATGGGAAGGTCCATGATAATCTGTCTTGTTTTTCCTGAAACTGTTTTGTTTTACATCAAAGATGAACAGAACCGGGGGTTTATGGTAGGAGAGGACCTACCTGATCAAGCAAGATCCCATGTTCTACCTCCACCCCCTGAGTAACCCTGGTCACACATCTGTGTGTTCAGCTTTACATGGAACTGATTTTATCAATGTGTCTATTGAAATAAGGAGGAATTTGTGGACTCCACTGCAAGACGGAGCAGATGACAGCGCACAGACCTTCTCTGCCCCCTCACTCCTTACTCACAGGCAGGGTGATCACCACAGGGTACAGTGGTGGCTGGTGAATCATAGCTGGATGCCTGGACGTGAATCGTATTGCCAGATGTGCGCTCCTAACACGCAGAAGGAGTGAAAAGGGCGGAAAGATAAAACTAGAGCTTCACCAACCTTATAGTTTTTTACAAGAAAACTTTCTGTGCAGTGAATGCCTCTAACCTGCTTTTGCATTAACACTTGCAACCTCACACGTCGCTGCTAAGAAGTTTTGGCAGCTCTTGGCCCTGATTGCGGAGGTAACGCTGCGCTTGTCTCCTTTGCTCTCACTCAAGTATCTCAGGAGCCAGAGACCGGCGCTTGATGAAGTTTCTCCCTGTACACGTATGCAGGCATCTTGGCAGAGCTTCAAAAGCCATTTGCCTTATTATTCATATGTCTGCTTATAGGAGCAGAAACGCTCCCATTTCTCACTTTCAGAATAAGGGCAGACACTAGGCAAGAAGAGATTTCTCATCAGCATCTCTGGCACAAGCCTGCAAACCCACGGCAGCTCCCCGTCTCCCCGCTGCCACCCTGGGGTTTGGGGATGCAGATTTAAAAGCCCTCCGTCCCAGTAGCTCTCCAGGTACATGAAGAGCCTTATCAAAACCAACTGAAATCACTGTGGTCTTGGAGTTTATGTGGAATGTGGGGGTCTCAAGGTCACATGAAACCGCAGAAGGATGACTTAAAAAAAAGAAGCTTCAAAAAAAGATTAAATTTCCTTTTTCCTCCTGCAGTTAGGATAGCTGACAATATGGAAATGTTGCAGAGACTTAAACAGGATTGAAATGACTTTGCCTCCTCACTGCATTTTCTCAAACAAGCTTCAAGAACCCTCACTTTAAAACAAATTACTAGACTGGAGTAACCTTATAAATCCAAAGACCCATTAAAAGTTGAAATATTTGGTCATTCCTCCTCTCGGTTTCAACTGGGATTCATCCAGAGTTCAAGTGCATGTATCGCATAAGAGCCACGGTCCCATTTTGTAGAGGTCCATTTTAGTGTTGATGGTTTTCTAGTGCCAGGAATCTACTCTGCAGCCAGGCAGAGAGATAAATCAAAGCTGTGCGCGCCGATGAAATTCAGGAGCCAGAAGTCACCATTGCAGCCCATATAAATCCCTGAATGCCAGCCCTGGTGCTTTTGTCCATGCCATTAGAGTTCAAAATTATCTGCCCCTCTTTGCTGATGTATGGATTAACCGGCTGCCCGAGTGTTTACTAACGGTTATCACCCGGTACTTTGGACGTTATCAGAGGAAGGGACGCCTGCCGCGGGGCTTGGTCTCTCACCCTTTCTATTACCACCTGTCAGTGGCAGGGAGTGTGCTGTGAAGCTGTACAGTCACAGACTACAAGTGTAGATAGTTTCTGACGGCTGATCAAAGGGGAAAACCAAAGGCCTGATAACAAGGACGTGTTTCATGTACTTTTAACTTTGAGAAACATTGGCATTTGCATTTTTTCCCCTCTGTAGGCTGGCAGAAACCAGGCACAATAAATGCTGCATATTCAGTTACCTAATAGTTGAGTAAATGGTATGTGCTTGAAGCAACAAAGCATAACTGTAATCTTGTTCCAAGTGGGAATGATTTAAGTAAGCCTTCGCAGAAGACTTGCTGTATAATAAAGTAGAATAATTTTAATTTGTACTTTGAAGTGATCTTGAATTCAGAATCTAATCTTTGTATTCAACAGAACATCATACCCTGTTGTGAATGAGGTAATAACTGCAAGTTAAGGGATTATTTTAAGTATCTTTTCTAGGTACGTTTGCTCCGTCACAATAACCAGCATCTTCAGCAGAGCGCTGACAATGAAAGAGTCTCTGTAGCTCACATTTGACCTAAAATTTCACAGTGGAGGAGCAGGGAAAATCCACAGATATCCCAGACTGAAAGAAGGGCTTGCTTTTGTCCTTTGGTAGACATACTTCAAACACACGTCAGAGAGCAAGCCGTCCTTTCCTCATCAGTGTATCACACAGTTGCTGAAGAGCAAGAAAGGGATTTGAGCAAAAAATCGTGCCCGTTAGCAAAGACAAAATGACTTGACTGTTCCCATTGTCTGAGATGAGAAGGACAAGAGCGCTCAACAGCAGCCCAGTGAAAGACAAATCAACTTTAAAAATAATTTCTGGCTGTCTAACATGTACTTAATAACACATGTACAGTTTTTTTAACATTACATGTCATTTACATCAGTGTCATTATGCTGATTTCCTGACTCTCACTAGTGCGAGGCCAGAATTGGGTCTGTATTTTTAATTTAACCTTTTTGCTGACAGCTGTTTGGTCAAAGCTGTTCAATACTTAGAGCTCTGCTTGCTCCTGCTGGGCTCTTAACACCAACATTTTAACCAATATGCTAAAAGTAGCTTCTCAGGAACTCAAAATGCAAGGGCTTCTTTCTTTCCAATGCAATAAACAGTATGTATGGAAGTAGTTTGGTCCCAGGGCCTCCCAAACATCTCCCGTTTGTTTGTTGAAGGTGCCTTCGACCGGAGCGTGACCTTGTTGGAGGTGTGCGGGAGCTGGCCCGAGAACTTTGGTCTCCGTCACATGTCTTCTATGGAGCACACTGAAGAGGGCCTTCGGGAGCGCCTGGCCGATGCGATGTGTGAATCTCCCAGCAGGGACATAGTGGGATCAGGAACAGGTACAAAGAAGAGGTGTGATCAGAGATCACATACATCTCACCCAATGGTGATTTTTAATTTTTTTTTTTTTTTTAAGTTTTCCTTTTCTCTGTGTGCTACTTCTCTGATTAATTAACTTTTATGGGGATATCACTTAGTGTGCGATAAGTCATTTATAAAAAGAAAATGGTGGTAGATCACATAAACATAGTCTGAGAAGCCTTAAGTAACTTGAAGAAAAATACTGGTGCTTGAAGCTTCTTTATCATGTAGCTGTGACAAGGGCTCTTCTCCCTCCCCTGCCAACTCAGGAGCATCCGAGTCTCTGTGCAGATTGCTGCCCTTACCCACCCTGCTTCAAACAATGTCATAATCACACACATCCTCATTTTGTGTCCTGAATAGAGCCACCGCGAAGCGCTGGTTCTGTAATCCAAATTAATCCATCTTCATCAGTGTCCATTATATTGATAAATTATATCATCTGTTTAAGTAAATGGAATGGCACGTCAGAGATTATGCTGCTCAGGAGGGGCCCGGTGGTGGGAGATGCTCAGAAACGTTGAAGCGCAATTATTGCGGTTTTATCATCTCCATTAATTTTGACTTGTTTTCAAAACACCCTCTAGTAAAAGGACTAGGCCCATCTTTGATCCACGCACCAGTTGTGTGGTGACTAGCAGCTAATAGTCATGGTGGCTTCTAACATCAGCTGCCAGTTTGCTTGTCACGCTTCTGGCAATTTGCCTGGGGAAGGAAAAAGAGGACAAGCTCTAGCAGAAACATATGGGTGTGCCAACCCATGGGCGTTACAGGAAGGCTCCCTAGAGCAGAAACTGGTTCTTCCTTTTGCTGCTGCCCTCGTGTGTTGCTGAGGGCCTTGTGCTGCTCTGAGCTCTCCCTGCTCTGCTCCAGCTGGAGAAGACTCAGGGGCCCTTCCATCAGGGCTTTTCCCTCTGCTTTGCAGGTGGGTCATACCCCATGGCAGGTCACCAACCTGCTGCTACCTCCCAGTCTGGAGGAGGAGGCTACAATGAAGCAGAGTTTAAGACCTTGTATGTAGGTACAAAGAGCAATAACCAAGCTGCTGGGTGATACAGAAGCATCCTTCAGAGCCTTTCAAACCATCTTTCCTCTAATTTCCATCTTGAAAAAGATGGAGTCAAGGAACGGTTCAAGATTTAGTATTAACAGAAAGCATTGGTTGAACACTAAGTATGAGTCTGGTTTACAGATCTGGTGCAAATTCTCACTAGCTTGTTGCCTTGGACGAGGCACTTAACGTACCCGTGACTCTAGTGCTCCATCACTGCAATGAGGATAGAGATGCCTCATGTTGCTGGTGCGGAGTTTAATCAGCTTAGGTCTGCAAAGGGCTGTGAAGGTGGAAAAACAGGCTGTGAAAATGGATAAAGGCACATATTTCATCACATACTGACCCATACTGTGATCAAAGTGAACTTTGGGATGGTATCTACTTCCAATAACAGGTCAGCTTCCCTCAGGCTCTGTACAGTAGGGGAAAGGTGAGGGGAATACCTTCTGTGAAAGCTGAAGCCACCTAGACGTGCCAAGTTAAGGTGACTGAGTGCCCCAGAGACTTGACATTACATTATATTGTAAATTGAGAACTTTGTCGGAGACAGAGGTCTACATCTTCCATCCATTTTCCCCAAACCCACCTGGTAGCAGTGAGTGACAACTTCTTTGGCATACGATCAAGCTCACAGTACTGCAGGTGTAAAGACAGAAAGGAACTGTTTATAGAGAGACCATCACTGGGCTAAAATTCATCCAAAGAGATTGCTCCCTGCTTTTACTCCCAACACATAAATCTTCATAGCGAGTGTGAGATAAATGCCATCTCAAAGCAGCACATGTAAGCAGCAGTAGGGAGTAACACGAGCATTGACCCATCTCACCCCATCCCACTGCCCTCCTCTTGCTGTCATTACACTCTTTGTTTTCCTGCCTGTTGTGGGATTCTCTCTATCACTCACATACTTTATTCTCAGGATTTGGGCATGTGGTGACTCAGTGCAGCAGAGAAAACCTAGTGATAAGGCTGTGAACTCCCGTGCCCTTTCCACTTCCATCCCCTAACAGCTCTTGAGCTCTTCTTACCAGATGGCCATAAAAAGTCCTCTCCTGCTCAGATGATACCTGGAAAACGGTGCTTGCCCAGGGAGTCGACTAGCGCTGGCTACACCGTGCATGGCTGTGCTCACGGCAGGCTGCCAGCACCCATTTGTCAAGTGGTGGAGCATGGTGAAGTGCTAGCATCTGTCTGCTGGTTAATAAATGGGGAAAGATAAGTTTGGAGGTACATTACCCTGGCTTCAAAGAAGAGGTGTCTTTGTTGGCTCGTTATAAGTAGGAGAGTTTTCACTTCCCCCAAAACCACTTACATCTTGACAAACCTGGGCTGAACTGAATTATCTTTGAAAAACGTGACATTTTCTAGCCCAGCTTTTCCTTCCTCGGATTCTCTTCTGCCCACTCACCTCCAAAAAATGATAGCAAAGAGTTCAGCAGAGAAGGATACCATAAGTTTGCTTGGTGGTAGTTGATTTATATATTGGTACTGGTTCCAAAGGCAGTGTTTGTATTTCTGCATTGGACTCAAAATTATGGAAGCTACAAATCTTTCTCTAATAATCCTAAAATTACTTATTTTAACGTATGCATGCCTTTATGTTACGCGTGCCTTTAGCCCCTGTTTGTGCACCTTGGATTCTCGTCAAGTTCTTAAATACATTTTACAGAGATTTAATGAAACTTGTAAAGTCTTGTTTGAACTGAAACATGAACTAATGAGAATTTCTAACTCTGAGTGTGACGTTACGTGCATGTGTAGTGCTCAGGTCCACTGCATGGACAAAGACAAAATGGGCAGTAGGGTGGACAGTGAGACTTTATCAAAGTGCTCAACTGGTCCTGACATGCACTTAATGGCAAGAGATAAATAGATTCTTTTAATGCCTTAACTGTTAGGACATAGCTGACATGTAGATTTATATAGTAATCAGGGCTGATATGCTGCAGTAGAGCAGAGGAGATGCGTGCTCGTGGTACACAGACCACTTTGGGGAGGAGGTATTCACAGTGTCTTTGTTTCTTACCTACCCTGTTGCATTACAAAGCCTCACTGGTTCAGTGGTCCTGGCTACAGGCAGAGGCAGAAATGACCCAGATTGGTTATACAGGAAGCATCAACCTGGAGGATGCTAAAAACACAAGGAATAATCAGGCATATGCAGGAAAGGGGAATTAGATGGCCTGATGGATTTTCTCCACCTTTGGCTGGTTGCCAAGGGCTGGGAGAAGAACCAGGTCTGGAAAATGACCCCCCAAAAATCGACTTTCCTTGTGACCTAAATGATAACTCCAGTCATCCAGCTAGTTGACTTGATTGGGAAACCAACTTTCCTCCTTGTTATCCAATTATCCAGACGACCCATGTCTATCTTAAGTGGAGTCTGCTGTACATAAACTGTCAGCGTAGATACACACATAATTCCAAGGAAGGCGTAAATTGGCAAAGATGCAAAAAGATGGTTTTGCTGTTTCAGTTTCTGTCAAACTCTCACTGGAAAAAAAAAATTAAGATCTACTCACAAAATGTTAGTGGTCAGTGACCTCTTTTGCTTGCAGAGCTTTGTTTTCAAGCAGCTACAATATTTATATTTGCAGTATAGTTTCTGAGTACGTGCTGGAGCTTCACATTGCAATATCAAAAAAAAAAAAACCAAGCCACAACTAGTATTGTGATTTATGAAACTGTGCTTCCAGGAGACAAATATCTCTGACAGGATTGCAGTCAAAGTGGACATGCAGAAATTGCCAGCCCGGGCAATCTTTCCCTTCTGTAATCACTGTAATGAGTAAATCCTCTGATTTATGGATTCCTTCAACAAGTACTTTTCTTAAGCTTTCAAATGCATTTTGGTCATTTCTAGGCATAATATTAGAAATTAGTCTATAATAATGGACCAAGCCTTTACAGTCTGAGCAACAGAATGTTTTCTGAAATTTCTCTGTGGCAGCTCATTTCTGTGGCTGTCCCCTGTTTCTGTGCCATAGGAGTTCAGTGAGCTGAAGCCCAGGAGACAGATTCCCCTGGTGCTTTCTGCCCATCCCTTCCGGGCTAAGGATGGCATCTGCAGCCATGATGCTGGTGTGGGTTCTTCCTACAGAGGTATAACATGGTCCGTGTACATCCCAGGGACCCAAATTCATTAGGCCCCCCAGTCACAGTCACTTAAAATGTAGTGTGGTGGTTGCACTTGGCCAGCACTGGGCTGGCAGCCAAACCCAGCCGCTCATTCACTCCCCCCTGGGAGGAGTGGGGCAAGGGTAAGGAGACTTGTAGGGTGAGAGAACACTTTAATAATTGAAATAAAATAAAACTTAAAATAATAATGATAATAATAGTAATAAAATATGGAAATGAGTGCTACCCAGTGCCATTGCTCACCACTCACTGACCAAGCCCGGCCTGTTCCCAGATCACGATCCCGCAGGAGCGACAATCCCGACCCGAAACCGCAATCCCGGGAGAGCCAGAGCCCGAGCCAAAGCCAGAGAGAGCAAGAGAGGAAGAGCCCCTCATGGATCTCCTGCCCATGGGGGACAGGAGATGGAACAGCCCCTTGGCAGAGCCCAATGCCCATGGAGCTGATCCATGGCAATATTCCTCCCCCCTGAGATCTTGCGCTTGCAGACGGACAAACACAAAGTCCTTCAGTGCCAGGGACACAAATGCAACATGGGGATGTTCTCAGCGTTTCTCTCCTGACAAATCCCAGCTGAACCCAAACCCCAGCGCTGTTCTGGCTGCTGGAAAGAACCAGCTCTGGCCCAGTACACACCAGGACCTGTAGGCTGGCCTGAAGGAAAAACAGTGGATCTGTCAGTCAGTCCCAGAAAGGAGTTTCTGCTCCTGGACAGCAGCAGTGAGCATGAAACGGTGCAGCTCTGCATCTGCAGCACCAGGACATGTATTCTCATCCCAGCTTCT